CTTTGGAGGAGATGATGAAACAAATGATGGCAACCATTATGCAAAATCAGCAAAGGACGGAGGCAACCATTATGCAAAATCAGCAAAGGACGGACTCCGAAATGCAGGACATAAGGAATCAGATAAGTCAAATGGCCACAACAATCAACCGCTTGGATTCCCAGAACCAAGGTAAATTGCCGTCTCAACCTGAATTAAATCCGAAGAACGTGAGCGCAATGACCCTAAGGAGCGGGAAGGAAATTCAAGGGCCTGAACCTGTGATCCCTAAGGACAAGGATGAGGAGAAGATCGAAAATGAACTTGAGAGGGAGGACAGCAATGGTGCAGATCCAAAGGTACTTCCAGACCCAATAATTACAGTTAAAACTAACCCGCCTCCTTTTCCTAGCAGGTTGGAAAAATCGAAGAAGCAGGATAAGGAGAAGGAGATTTTGGAGGTGTTTCGCAAGGTGGAGATAAATATCCCCCTCTTACACGCCATCAAACAAGTACCAAAATATGCTAAGTTCCTAAGGGACTTGTGTGTCAATCGAAGGCGATTGAGGGGAGATGAAAGGGTTATTGTTGGGGAGAATGTGTCAGCGGTCCTGCAGAGAAAGTTTCCACCCAAGTGCGGGGACTCAGGTATGTTTACTATCCCCTATAGGATAGGTAATACTGTGATTAGAAGGGCCATGTTGGATCTGGGAGCATCAATTAATGTCATGCCTAAATCTATCTATACTTCTCTGAAATTAGGTCCATTAAAAGAAACTGGAATAATCATTCAATTAGCTGACCGAACTAATGCATATCCTGATGGGTTGGTTGAAGATGTGTTGGTAAAAGTAAATGATTTGGTGTTTCCAGCTGATTTTTATGTACTTGATATGGATGATGACCACTCCCCTGATCCCTCACCTTTGTTGTTAGGTAGACCCTTTATAAGCACAGCACAAACAAAAATTGATGTTAATAAGGGTACCTTATCCATGGAATTTGATGGTGAAACTGTGCATTTTAATATCTTTGATACTATGAAATACCCCTCAAATTCTAACTTTAGCTCAATTTTCTCTGTGAGTGCTATTGACCCTACAGTGCAGGAAGTGTTTGAAACTGTTGGCAGGGATGAGCTGGAGGTGACTTTAACCAAGCACCTCGAGTTGGAGACAACTCCTAAGGTGGAGTGGAGTGAGGATCTAAAATGCACAAAAGGTGCATTACACTCATTGCCGACCACCTCAAAAAGGTATGAAGTCTTGCCTATTTTTATTCCCGAGCCTCACCAGAAGGTATTGCCATCTGTGGTGCAGGCACCTGTAGTGGAGTTGAAACCTCTACCAGAGCACCTGAAGTATGCGTATTTGGGTGACAACGAGACACTCCCGGTAATTATCTCATCTGCACTCTCAAAAACGCAGGAGGAGAAGTTGATCCGAGTCCTTAGAAAGCATAAAGAGGCGATAGGATGGACCATCACAGACATCAAGGGGATCAGCCCGGCCGTCTGTATGCATCGGATTAGATTGGAAGAGGATGCTAAACCTGTTCGGCATGCTCAAAGGAGGTTCAACCCCCTCATGATGGAAGTTGTAAAAAAGGAGATTTTGAAATTGCTAGATGTGGGGATTATTTTTGCAATATCAGATAGCCCCTGGGTGAGCCCGGTCCAGGTAGTCCCAAAGAAGGCAGGAGTGACGGTAGAGGCTAACCAAACCGGTGAACTTGTGCCAGTGCGTAAGCCCACTGGATGGAGGCAATGTATAGACTACCGTAGGCTAAACGCCGTCACCAAAAAGGACCATTTCCCTCTCCCATTCATTGACCAAATGGTTGAACGTTTGTCTTGTAGGGCTTACTATTATTTTTTGGATGGATTTTCAGGATACTTTCAGATAGCAATTGCCCCAGAGGATCAAGAGAAGACAACCTTCACGTGCCCGTTCGGGACCTTTGCTTATAGACGAATGCCATTTGGGTTGTGCAATGCACCTGCAACATTCCAGAGGCGTATGGTAAGTATTTTTTCTGAATATGTGGAGAAAATTATTGAAGTTTTTATGAATGATTTCAGTGTGTATGGTGATAGTTTTGATACATGTCTAGACAACCTGAAATTGATCCTGATAAGGTGTATAGAGACTAATCTCGTGCTTAATTGGAAAAAATGTCATTTTATGGTTGAGCACGGGATAGTGATAGGGTATAATTTGTTAGTAATTTTATTATTAATTTTCCTTTTCATCCATGATAAATATTGTGTTAATTGCTGATATCTACTCATATTTGGTATCTGGACTTAATTTCAGGAATGAAACAGAAAACTACCAGAAAGGAGGGATTTTATGAAGAATATGGAGACTTCTAAGGGCTTCAATTCTTGGGCCCTTGGATTGGTGGGGACCACAAAGCTATAAGTCATTTGGGCTCTTCAAAGAAAGCTACGTAAAAGAGACTTGGAACAAGAAGTACTTTGGAGGCTTTGTCCACATGTGTGGGGACCACCTATATAGCTTTAGTCTATCTTTCTTTTGTTTCTTAAATAGGGAGAACGTAGGGAAAGAAGACATCTCTAGCTTTAGTTTATCTTTTAGTTTAGTTTTTAGCCTAGTCTTTAGTTTTTCTTTTCTTCTCCTGACTGGCCTCTGACACACGCCAGGTGTTCGACAATATTCCCCAACGGGAAAAACACCTTTTATTCCTTGCTTCCTAATAGAAAACGCAATGCCTTTGCAATTTATTAATTCGTGTGGTGATTTCATTATGCGGCGTGGCTAAGCCTTCCATCTAGTCAAGGGTCAACTCGACGGCGCAGTCCCGAAAATCTGTGAGATCTACTTAGTTTTCACGCGTTCCTTAATTTATTAATATTTGCACGTTGTCTGCTTGAATTTTCATGGGATTATTTTATTAATTGGATGTCAAGGGCCCGATGTTCAATGTGATTTATTAATCTCGTGCCAATTTAGTCAATTAAATCCGTAATTGTTTGATTGATTAATATTAGTGGCAACTGGTGTGTTTATACATTAGGGGAACGTGCGATCTAATTTAAATAACCCTCGTAGCGTGTTATTGATTAGGGCTAGGTTTTTCTAGTTATTAATGCAATTGGAAAATTACTTCCTATGGTCGTACCTAGGAGTATTTGCTGATTAGGGGTAATCAACGGTCGTACCTTGGTTATCAATAATTTAAGGAAAAATTGGTCGTCAGACTATAACTAGCCTATTAATACATTAAGTGAACATCTCTTGCATCAATGATCGGATGATTGGACTGTGCCAGAGTAGTTGCGTCCTTGGCTAGAATTTATTTATACTTGATTTAATTCCTGCTAAACTTGTGCTAGTTAATTATTTGTTTTTAGTTGGATTGTTTAATTATTTTTAGTTGTCTATCCACAAAAACACCCCTCTTTGTCACTGTGAGTTTGAAAAGAAACAATTACTCCCAGTCCCTGTGGATTCGACCCTGCTTACCGCTGTCTACAGAAATTACTTTTAGTTTGAGCAGGTTTTATTATTGCACAGGCTGACAACCTGTCAATTTTTGGCGCCGTTGCCGGGGACTGGCGTTATTATTTGTTTCTTTTCAAATTCATTTTTTGTCCTAATTTTCTGGTTTTCTTCTAGTGTATGCCTCGATCTTTTCGTACAGGTGATTTGATTTTTGACCCTGAAGTAGAGAAGATCGCGCGTAGAACGAGGAAGGAAACCAGACAGCTCAGAGAGGAGCACTCCAGTGCTACATCTCAGAGACCTGAGTCAGGAGTTGAACCAACAGATTCATTTGGTGACACTTCGAGTGACTCGGAGCAAGAAGAAATTCCCATGGCTAATGCACGAACATTAAGGGAGTTGGCTGCCCCTAATTTAAATCAGCAGCCTTTGTGCATTACTTTCCCGAGTTTGAGTGAAAACACTTCATTTGAGTTAAAATCTGGTTTGATTTCTCTTTTACCCTCTTTCCATGGTTTACCAGGTGAGGAGCCGTATAAGCATCTGCAGGAGTTTGATGTCGTGTGCAACAGCATGAAGCCCCCGGGCATTACAGAAGAGCAGATAAAAATGAGGGCATTTCCCTTCTCCTTGAAAGATTCTGCGAAGGACTGGCTGTACTACCTGTCACCAGGTAGCATCACCACTTGGGACCAATTGAAGAAAAAAATTTTGGATAAATATTTTCCTGCGTCCAGGGCTGCAAGTCTGAGGAAAGAAATTTGTGGGATCAAGCAGCACCCAGGGGAGTCACTCTATGAGTATTGGGAACGGTTCAACTTCTTGTTGCACAAGTGTCCCCAGCACCAGATAAGTGAGCAGTTGCTCATTCAGTATTTTTATGAGGGGCTCCTTTTTGGGGACAGGAGCATAATTGATGCTGCAAGTGGAGGGGCACTGGTGAACAAAACCCCTCAAGAAGCACGGGAGTTGATTGAGAGGATGGCAGAGAATTCACAACAATTCGGTACGCGAGAGGATTGTCCAATACGCAGGGTGAATGAGGTAGAGACACCCTCCATGCAGCAGCAGCTAACTGAGTTGACCGCGTTTGTTAGGCAACAGGCTGTGAGAAATGCATCACAAGCCAGGGCATGCGGGATTTGCACTGGTATAGGTCACTCTGCAGACATGTGCCCAATGATTCAGGAAGAAACTGCAGAACAGGTGAACATGGCTGACCACGCGCCGCGCCGAGGAAGCAGTACGACCCTTACTCAAGCACCAACAACCCCGGGTGGAGAGATCATCCCAACCTCAGTTATTGAGGGAATAGGCAACCCAACTTTACACCGAACAGGCAGTCTAACTTTGTGCCAAATAAGCCACCAGGGTACCAGCAGCAATACCAATCCCGACCACCTCCGCCCCCAAGCTCTGGTCCATCTTTGGAGGAGATGATGAAACAAATGATGACAAACCATGGCGCAAAATCAACAAATGATGACAACCATGGTGCAAAGTCAGCAAAGGACGGACTCCGAAATGTAGGATATAAGGAATCAGATAAGTCAAATGGCCACAACAATCAACCATTTGGATTCCCAGAACCAAGGGAAGCTGCCATCTCAACCTGAGTTGAACCCGAAGAATGTGAGCGCCATGACTCTGAGGAGCGGGAAGGAAATTCAGGGGCCTGAACCTGTGATCCCTAAGGATAAGGATGAGGAAAAGATCGAAAATGAGCTTGAAAGGGGGGACAGCAATGGTGCAGACCCAAAGGTACTTCCTGACCCAGTAATTACAGCTAAAACTAACCTGCCTCCTTTCCCTAGCAGGTTGAAAAAATCGAAGAAGCAGGATAAGGAAAAGGCGATTTTGGAGGTTTTTCGCAAGGTTGAGATAAACATCCCCCTCTTAGACGCAATCAAACAAGTACCAAAATATGCCAAATTCCTAAGGGACTTGTGTGTCAACCGAAGGCGATTGAGGGGAGATGAACGGGTTATTGTTGGGGAGAATGTGTCAGCGGTCCTGCAGAGAAAGTTTCCACCCAAGTGCGGGGACCCAGGTATGTTTACTATCCCCTGTAGGATAGGGAACACTGTGATTAGAAGGGCCATGTTGGACTTGGGAGCATCAATTAATGTCATGCCTAAATCTATATATGCTTCTCTAAAGCTAGGTCCATTAAAAGAAACTGGAATAATCATTCAATTAGCTGACCGCACTAATGCATATCCTGATGGGTTGGTTGAAGATGTGTTGGTGAAAGTTAATGATTTGGTGTTTCCAGCTGATTTTTATGTACTTGATATGGATGATGATCACTCCCCTGATCCCTCACCGTTGTTATTGGGTAGACCCTTTATGAGCACAGCACAGACAAAAATTGATGTTAATAAGGGTACCTTATCCATGGAATTTGATGGGAAAATTGTGCACTTTAATATCTTTGATACTATGAAATATCCCTCAAACTCCAACTTTAGCTCAGTTTTTTCTGTGAGTGCTATTGACCCTGCGGTGCAGGAAGTATTTGAAACTGTTGGCAGGGATGAGTTGGAGGTAGCTTTGACCAAGCACCTCGAGTTGGAAACAACTCCTGAGGTGGAGTGGAGTGAAGATCTAAAATGCACAATAGGTGCATTACACTCATTGCAGACCACCACGAAAAGATATGAAGTCTTACCTATATTTACTCCCTAACCTCACCAGAGGGTATTGCCATCTGTGGTGCAGGCACCTGTACTGGAGTTGAAACCTCTACCAGAGCACCTGAAATATGCATATCTGGGTGATAATGAGACACTCCCGGTGATTATCTCATCGGCACTGTCAAAAACCCAGGAGGAGAAACTGATCCGGGTCCTTAGAGAGCATAAAGAGGCGATAGGTTGGACAATTGCTGACATTAAGGGAATCAGCCCGGCCATCTGTATGCACCGGATTAGACTAGAAGAGGATGTCAAACCTGTTAGGCAGGCTCAAAGGAGGCTTAATCCCCTCATGATGGAAGTTGTAAAGAAAGAGATTTTAAAATTGCTAGATGTGGGGATCATCTTTGCAATATCTGATAGCCCTTGGGTGAGTCCGGTCCAAGTAGTCCCAAAGAAGGCAGGAGTAACGGTAGAAGCCAACCAAACGGGTGAGCTCGTACCAGTACGCAAGCCCACTGGATGGAGGCAGTGTATAGACTATCGTAGGCTAAATGCCGTCACTAAAAAAGACCATTTCCCTCTCCCTTTCATTGATCAGATGGTTGAACGTCTAGCTTGTAGGGCTTACTATTGCTTTTTGGATGGATTTTCAGGATATTTTCAGATAGCAATTGCACCAGAGGATCAAGAGAAGACAACCTTCACATGGCCGTTCGGGACCTTTGCCTATAGACGAATGCCATTTGGATTATGCAATGCACCTGCAACGTTCCAGAGATGTATGGTAAGCATCTTTTCTGAGTATGTTGAGAAAATAATAGAGGTTTTCATGGATGATTTCAGTGTGTATGGTGATAGTTTTGATACGTGTCTAGATAACCTGAAATTGATCCTGATAAGGTGTATAGAGACTAATCTCGTGCTTAATTGGGAAAAATGTCATTTTATGGTTGAGCACGGGATAGTCCTGGGTCATATTGTATCATCTAAGGGCATCGAGGTTGACAAGGCTAAAATAGACGTTATTTCTGCATTACCTTACCCCGCAAATGTGCGGGAGGTGCGTTCTTTTCTTGGGCATGCAGGTTTTTATCGAAAGTTCATCAAGGATTTTTCAAAAATTGGGGCCCCATTGTTCCAACTCTTGCAAAAGGATGTAGCCTTCGAGTTTAATGACAAGTGTGAGAGAGCCTTTGACAAGCTGAAGGAATTGTTGACTTCACCCCCAATCATCCAGCCCCCCGATTGGAGTTTGCCATTTGAAATCATGTGCGATGCCAGTGATCATGCTGTTAGGGCTGTACTGGGGCAAAGAGTAGGAAAGGCGGCTCATGTCATCTATTACGCATCCCGGGCCTTGAATGGAGCCCAGTTGAATTATTCCACCACTGAGAAGGAGTTTCTTGCGGTTATTTTTGCTTTAGAAAAATTCAGGTCATATTTGTTAGGAGCTAAAGTAATTGTATTTTCTGATCATGCAGCGTTAAGGTACCTAATGACCAAGAAGGATGCCAAACCGAGACTCATCAGGTGGATATTGCTACTACAGGAATTTGACCTTGAGATAAGGGACAAAAAAGGCTCAGAAAATCTAGTAGCAGACCATTTGAGTCGCATACCAGTTGGGGAGGACAATGAGCCATTGAAGGATGCATTCCCTGAAGAGCATTTATTTTCCTTGCATTCTCAATTGCCTTGGTATGCTGACCTGGTCAATTATTTGGTAACTGGTAATTTTCCTGCAGGTTGGCCAAAATCGAAGAGGGATAAATTGAAGAGCGACGCCAAGTATTTTATCTGGGATGACCCGTACCTGTGGAAGAGGTGTGCAGATCAGGTAATGAGGAGATGTGTAAGTGAAATGGAATTCCAATCGATTCTAGCTTTTTGTCATACTTTTGCCTGTGGAGGTCATTTTGGACCCAAGAGGACTGCTCATAAGATTTTAGAAAGTGGATTTTATTGGCTTTCATTGTTTAAGGATGCCTATGTATTTTGTAAGTCATGTGATCGCTGTCAAAGGGTAGGTAATATAACCCGTAGGGATCATATGCCCCAAGTCCCGATGATTTTTGTAGAAATTTTTGATGTCTGGGGTATAGATTTCATGGGGCCTTTTCCTACTTCATTTGGTTTTATGTATATTTTGCTGGCAGTTGATTATGTGTCCAAATGGGTGGAGGCTAAGGCCACTCGGACTAATGACTCGAAGGTAGTTGCAGATTTTATTAGGTCTAATATTTTTGTACGATTTGGAATGCCAAAAGCCATTGTCAGTGATAGGGGGACGCACTTCTGCAACAAAACCATAGCTGCGTTGTTTCGCAAGTATGGTGTACTCCACAGGGTCTCGACATCGTACCACCCTCAGACCAATGGTCAAGCGGAGGTATCAAACCGGGAGATTAAGTCCATTCTGGAGAAAATGGTGCGCCCCGATAGGAAAGATTGGAGTTCAAGGTTGGAAGATGCTTTGTGGGCATATAGGACCGCTTACAAGACGCCTATAGGGATGTCTCCCTATAGGTTAGTATTTGGTAAGCCTTGCTATCTTCCAGTGGAGTTCGAGCACAAGGCTTTTTGGGCGATAAAGCAATGCAACATGAACCTAGAAGAGGCCGGTGCCCGACGGAAATTGGATTTACAGGAGTTGGAGGAGATTCGCAATGAGGCCTATGAGAATGCGGTAATTTATAAGGAGAAAAATAAGATTTTTCATGACCAACAGATCTCGAGGAGGACATTCGAGTGTGGGCAAAAAGTTCTCCTGTACCACTCCAAATTGAAGTTATTTCCAAGTAAGTTACGTTCTCGTTGGATTGGTCCTTTTGTTGTGACTAATGTCTTTCATTATGGTGCAGTAGAGATCCAAAGTTTGAAGACTGAGAAGAAATTTGTAGTGAATGGTCATCGTCTCAAGCCGTATTATGAAGGGGTTCCAATTGAACGGGTGGAGATGGTGCACTTGGAAGACTCGATTTGCTTAGTTTAAGCAAAGTTTTGGACGATGTCTAGCCAAAGACATTAAAGAAAGGCGCTCATTGGGAGGCAACCCAATTGTTCCTTTTCATTGTTTGTTCAATTTCGTGTGATAGTTTAGATTGTGCTCCCTGAATTAGACTGATTTTGGGTTTCAATTTGCGTTTTTGCTGATCTATAGGTGCCCTTCACTCATGAGGCGCCCGCGTGGTGATGTGCAGGAAGCTCACGATCAGAAACTTCTGAAACTTCTGGGAGCTCTCTTGCCCTCATGACGCGCCCGCGTGGTGATGTGCAGGAAGCTCACGATCAGAAACTTCTGAAACTTCTGAAACTTCTGGGAGCTCTCTTGCCCTCATGACGTGCCCGCGTCACGTTCGCGGGAAAGGTAGGGATTCAAAAAAAAAAAAATTTTTGAATAAACATTTCTTATCACCGTAGCTTTAGTTTCCAAATTTAAAAAAAAATTTATTTCCGTGGCTCAAAGAGCCTCATAATTGGAAGGAAAAGAAAAGAAACACGTAGCTTTAAAATGTCATTTTATGGTTGAGCACGGGATAGTCTTGGGTAATGTGGTGTCGTCTAAAGGTATCAAGGTTGACAGGGCGAAAATAGATATTATATCTGCATTACCTTACCCCGCGAGTGTGCGGGAGGTACGTTCTTTTCTTGGACATGCAGGTTTTTATCGAAGGTTCATCAAGGATTTTTCAAAAATTGGGGCCCCGCTGTTCCAACTTCTACAAAAGGATGTAGCCTTCGACTTTGATGACAAGTGTGGGAGAGCCTTCGACAAGTTGAAGGAATTGTTGATCTCACCTCCAATCATCCAGCCCCCTGACTGGAATTTACCATTTGAGATTATGTGTGATGCCAGTGACCATGCTGTAGGGGCTGTGCTAGGGCAAAGAGTGGGAAAGGCACCTCACGTCATCTACTATGCGTCCCGAGCGTTAAATGGAGTCCAATTGAATTACTCCACCACTGAGAAGGAGCTTCTTGCAGTTATTTTTGCTTTAGAAAAATTCAGGTAATATCTGTTAGGTGCCAAAGTAATTGTATTTTCTGATCATGCAGCATTAAGGTACCTAATGACCAAGAAGGATGCCAAATCGAGGCTCATCAGGTGGATATTGCTACTACAGGAATTTGACCTGGAAATAAGGGACAAAAAAGGCTCAGAAAATCTAGTAGCAGACCATTTGAGTCGCATACCGGTTGGGGAGGATAATGAGCCATTGAAGGATGCATTCCCTGAAGAGCATTTATTTGCCTTAAATTCTCAATTGCCTTGATATGCTGATTTAGTCAATTATTTGGTAACTGGTAACTTTCCTGCAGGTTGGCCAAAATCGAAAAGGGATAAATTGAAGAGCGACGCCAAGTATTTTATCTGGGATGACCCATACTTATGGAAGAGATGTGCAGATCAAGTGATGAGGAGATGTGTAAGTGAAGTGGAATTTCAATCGATTTTGACTTTTTGTCATACTTTTGCCTGTGGAGGTCATTTTGGACCCAGGAGAACTGCTCATAAGGTATTAGAAAGTGGATTTTATTGGCCTTCATTATTTAAGGATGCTTATGTGTTTTGCAAGTCATGTGATCGCTGCCAAAGGGTAGGTAATATAACCCGTAGGGATCATATGCCCCAGGTCCCGTTGATTTTTGTTGAAATTTTTGATGTCTGGGGTATAGATTTCATGGGGCCTTTTCCTACTTCATTTGATTTTCTATATATTTTGTTGTCAGTTGATTATGTGTCTAAGTGGGTGGAGGCTAAGGCCACTCGGACTAAAGACTCGAAAGTAGTTGCAGATTTTATCAGGTCTAATATTTTTGTGCGATTTGGAATGCCAAGAGCTATTGTCAGTGATAGGGGAACGCACTTCTGCAACAAAACCATAGCTGCGTTGTTTCGCAAGTATGGTGTACTCCACAGGGTCTCGACGTCGTACCACCCTCAGACCAATGGTCAAGCGGAGGTGTCGAACCGGGAAATCAAATCCATCTTGGAGAAAATGGTGCGTCCCGATAGGAAAGATTGGAGTCATCGGTTGGAGGACGCACTCTGGGCCTATCGGACGGCGTACAAGGCGCCTATAGGGATGTCGCCGTACATGTTGGTATTTGGGAAGCCGTGCCACCTACCAGTGGAGTTTGAGCACAAGGCTTTCTGGGCGATAAAGCAATGCAACATGAACCTAGAGGAGGCCGGTGCCCAACGGAAGTTGGATTTGCAAGAATTGGAGGAGATCCGGAACGAAGCCTACGAAAATGCACTAATTTATAAGGAGAGAAGCCGGACATTTCATGATCAACAAATTTCAAGAAAAACCTTTGAAATTGGACAGAAGGTCCTCCTGTACCAATCCAGGCTCAAGCTATTCCCAGGTAAGCTACGTTCCCGTTGGTTTGGACCTTTTATTGTTACTCACGTGTTTCCATATAGTGCAGTTGAAATCCGGAGTGCTAAGACAGATGCCAAATTTGTGGTGAACGGACACCGCCTCAAACATTATTACGAAGGTTTTCCAAGTGGAGAAGTGGAGACAATAAGCCTAGACGCACCACTGTGTCATAATTAGTGGCACTTTACCATGTCTGGTCCAAAACGTTAAAGAAAGGCGCTCATTGGGAGGCAGCCCAATTGTTTTTTTTCATTGTTTGTTTGATTTTGTTTGATAGTTTAAATATGTTTTCCTTGAATTTGACAGATTTTTGGGTTTTAATTTTCATTTTTTTTCTGATTTGTAGGCGTTCTTCTGTCATGACGCGCCCGCGTGATGGCGTATGGAGCGCTCACGGCCAGAGAGCTCTCTTGCTCTTATGACGTGCCCCCGTCATGACGACCAGGAAGCTCACGGCCAGAGAGCTCTCTTACTCTTATGACGTGCCCGCGTCATGACGACTAGGAAGCTCACGGCCAGAGAGCTCTCTTGCTCTCATGGCGTGCCCGTGTCACGTTCGCGGGAAAGGTAAAGATTCAAAAAATAAAAAAATAAAAAATAAAAATTTTTTTTTTTAATAATAAATAAAATAATAATAAACAAGAAAATAATAATAATAAATCAAAAAAAAAAACTTTTCTCTTCACCGTAGCTATTTCTTTTCTGTTAAAAAAAAAAAAAAACTCTTTTCTTTTCCTTCTTTTCTTTCTTTCTCTCTTCTTCTTTCTTTCTCTTTTCTTTCTTCCTTCTCCCCTGCTCCCTCTCTGTTGTCCGAAACCCCTTTGCACGCCGCCTCCTATTCCAGCTCCTCCTCGCCATCGACCAGCGGCACCAGCCGCCAACCGCAGCTTGCGCTGCCGTTCCTCTTTGGCCGAGACCCAGAGAACCTCGCGCGCAGGCCAGCTTCTCAGCCGCGCAGCTTGCCCGGCAGCCGGCCACCCGCGGCCTCCGCAATCCACTTCGCAGGCCGCAGCAGCTGCTGAAGCTCTCACTGCGCGCCGCCACCGCAACCCCCTCCAGCCCGCTCTCACCTCTGCAGCAGCCCGCAGCGCCCCCACTGTCCCGCGCACCGTCGACGTCCTGCCTCGCGCCGCCAGCAGCGCCTCTGTCTTCGCTCGCCGCTGCTGCTCTACCTCTGTTCACGCCGCAAGCCGCGGCTATTTTTCCTCCACCACTCCGCCTCTCCTACCAATAGCTCTCTCTTCACCCACCTCATCCGCCACCAGCGAGCAGCCCGTTGCTCACTCCATCGCACGCCGCCGTAGCGGCTGAAGTTCCCACAGTCGGGCTGCCGCCTGTTCTAGTGCGCCGCGCGCGCTCTGATCCAGCTCGTCCAAGGCCAGCCCACGGACACCGCCGCAACCCCTCACGCGATTCCGGCACACCTGACACCCACCACTGTCCCATTTCGTCTGGCTACCATCTACGGTGGAGGTAATTCACAGTTGCCGCCCAATTTCTTAATACTTATTGGTACTGCCTGGGTCGTTCCATAGTTGATATTGTTGACGGTTGGAATTTACTTTCTCAATTGGTGATTTTCCACCAGTGGTACTGGTTGGATTATTCTTGCTAGGAATTGCTATTTCTTTTGGGTTGGGTTAAATTGTGCAATTCATTGGCCAACTGGAGCCATTTGTTGGGACTTTGGGTGAGCTGATTGCTGTGACTGTTTGTTAACTTTGGAGGACACTTTGGACCTCACGTTGCTTGTGGACATTGGTTGACTCGTTGTGAATTGCTGGGCATTATTTTGCTTGAATTGCTAGGTAACTCGCTGAGGTTTCTTTTGGGATTTTGGTTGAGTTATTTCTGAAATTGCTTGTGAATTAGAGAGGCTGGCCGCATATTCGGTTTAATTACTTATAAAATTGCTGATTGGGAGGGGCCTTACTATATCGGGCTACTCAGTGACTGCTGTGGACTGGCATACTTTCTGGGGTTACTTTAATTGCTATAGTCACTGAGCTCACCGCAGTTTGGTCGCCATCTGTGGGGCATTGGGCATTTTTACTTGCTGAAATTCTTTTGTTTGTTATTGATTGGGTTATTACTGGGAAATTCTTGCTTTGTTCTGCTGAGTTTCCTTTGCTAGTTGCATTTGCTGGTTTCCATACCTGTTGGAGCTTCTGTAGCTTTGAGCTGACTGTTGGGTGATATGGTGAGACCAAAATCCTCCTCTAGGTCTAGGGCCTCTCGTTCTCAGCCCCCTCCACAGGCATCTATTCCTGTGAATACACCTACCAACCTACCCTACTCTTCTAATGTCCGAACCCGTTTGGGTAGGGGTAGGGGTGCTCAGGTAGATACCCCAGCTCACTTTGGAGGGCACCTGACCTTCACTAGACCTGCCGATCAGCAGAGATATGCTAAAGTCTGTGAGCGGCGTATCATACCTTGTAAGACTAGTGACAAATTATCTATGATGGGCCTAGGCATACGAGAGGAGGTCGAGCAGATGTTTACAGCCATCGGGTGGCGCCCATATCTCGATATCTTTTGCCCCGCCTTTGTCGAGCTGACTCGGGAGTTTTATTCTACCTTTGAGTTTGAGTTGCCCTCGAGGTTCACCGTTGCGACACCTAATGTCATTCGCTTCCGTCTGATGGGTCGGGAATTTAATTTTTCGATTACCCAATTTAATCTGGCATTTGGGTTCATTACTCGAGAGTATGCTAAGACGAGGGAGTATGTTGAGAGTGCCTGCAATTACATAGAGCCTTTTCTTTCCCGCTACCGCACTGTGTGGGAAGAAATGTCCACCGATCCGCAGCGCTACGACCCTTCTAGGTCTAGGAGCTCCTTTCTTAGGGACCCTAGCGCCCGATACGTCCAGCGATTCTTAGCCTACAGCTACTCCGGTCGCAAGGACAGCTCCGGCATTCTCTCTCGACCCGAGTTTTTCTTCATTTGGAGTATGCAGAATAACATCAAGGTCAACTTGGGGTGTTGGTTGGCAGCACAGTTCAAGACCGTCTTGGCCAAAAAAAATAAACCCCTTATCCTTGGGTCCTTTATCACCCACTTGGCGACAGAGCTGGGGGTTCTTAACCTGGAGGACCACGACCTGCATTTGGCGTTCGAGATGGAGCTCTTGGATGTGGATTGCTTAGAGAGGATGGGAGTCATCGAGCGCCTGCCCGATGGTTCCTACCAGTTTACCCCTCCGGGACCACCTCGAGCTCCGGGTGCACACCCTTCGCCCCGAGCAGGGCCCTCTTCATTTCATGAGTCAGCCGAGGACACAGCTGGGCCGTCATCTTCTGCGCCACCTCCACCACGTGGGAATTCTGAATGGCAGCAACTCCGGGAGCAGGTTCAGACTTTGGAGGCTCGAATGGTCAACGTTGACGCCAATATCGCCGGCATAGCGCAGAATTTGGCGCAGTTTTTGCTTCATACAGGCTTTGCACCTCCATTTCCACCTCGCCCTCCACTTTGACCCAGTTTCAGGGAAGTTTAGTTGCTTTCTCTCTCACTTTTGCTTTTTCTTTGGCACATTGAGGACAATGTGCCCTATAGGTGTGGGGGGGTCTATAGTCTTTTTAGTTTTTGGTAGTTGATAGTTTTATTTCTAGTTGCTTACTTTCTTTTCTTAGTGCTTATCCCTCATATGAAAAAAAAAAAAAAAGAAAAAAAGGCGAAAAAAATGGGTGTTGGTTTATTGCCTCTAATTCTGCTTTTGCCAAGTTTTTAAAATATA